GGTGTTCATCTAGGTTTCAGCTTCATCTTCATCTCCATCATCTTCATCTTGGAAAGCAAAACTTGTCTTCTTAGCTTGCTCACTGCAACATGGAAAGAGATGACTCTGATTTTGAATCCACCCCACAGGAATGAATAGATCATTCAATTGATCTATCACCTCTATCTTCATTCAATGAGATGGAAATAATTGAGTGTTCAATGTAGGGAAATTCTGCTAGAATAACTTCAAGAAAGGTATTCTGGGAAAGGTTTGATCCGTTGGAACATTTAAGTGATTTGGAACTTCATGAAAGATACAGTCTTGACAGGGAAGAAATTTCAAATTGACTGATTTGCTGGCTGAGCAGTAGAATCCACCAAATCATGGGGCTCATGCGTTGCATCCACAGGTCCAAGTGTGCCTTGCTTTGCGCTTTTGTGCAAGTGGGACATTTCTGAATCTTGCTGGGGATGATGTCTGAGTGCACAAATCTACTGTTTCTCGCACATTCCACCAGGCTGCCAGCGCTGTTTGGCACAATATGGGCCATTACATTTTTTTTCCTGTGGGGGAAAATGAGCTGAGGAACGTCAAGTGTGGCTTTCACGAGATTTTCAAATATAATTTCAGATATAATCAGGGCTATAGATTCCACCCACGTCCGGATTGTAGCCCCAAGCGTTGATGAACCAGCATGCACTAACAGGAAAGGGTACCATTCCCTGAATGTGCAAGCCATTGTTGACCACAACATGCTGTTTACCAGCTATGCTGCATGTTGGCCAGGGCGTGCCCATGACTCTTGAATTTAAAAAAAAAACACAGTTTTTGGGAGCTATCTTGTGGAAACATTTCTGGATACCTATTGGGTGATTGTGGCTATCCATTGAGGACTTACTTGATGACCCCTTTCTTGCCAATCAGGTGTGCAACTGAGAGAAGCATAAGGTAAGCATCACATAGTACAGTTACTTTCTGTTAAGGGCCATACAGCAGTTGCCATGGTATTGGTTTTTTTCATTTTTATTTTCTTGGGAAATGTTTTAACCAACTCCAAGTATAACTATAATAGAGGAATAAGTACACCTGTGGTACCTCCTCCAAAAAGCCAGGGTTGCAAAGGGTGCAATCACACTTTCCAATCATAGTGTAAATAGACCTGGAGGGGACACAGCCATGTGGGCAAATCCCGTCTTATGACTCTCGCACCCGCCATATTGGAAATCCGTGCTGTGGACCTTCCCCAGTGAAGACAATTACGATTTCGCAGCTAAGAAATCTCTTGAAACGTTGATTAGTCTAAATCTGGAAATGTTACTACTGAGATATGATATCAAGTTCAGAAGACACGAGAAGGACCCGAGTGTGCCTGGAGGATGTGTTGTACCTACTTCCGAAAGCCTGGCCTAGTTTTTTAAAAGTGATGTTTTATTTGATCTCATGATGAATCAAGAGCGTCCCTGTGAACTATAAGGCAGTGTAATTGTTTTCTCCCATTCTTCTGTTGGCTCCGAAGTTCAATATGATCTGGTGAAAAACCTTGATCCATATCATTTCATTATGAACCATTGAAACATTTTCTGCTTCATTGCAGGAAGAAAATATTGAAATGAAGCATGCAGGTTTTGGTTCACTGGTAGTAAAAAAGAATTGATTTGGTGAGTTTCCTTCTGACAGAGGTACTCTGAATGTCAGCATTAGCTTGTTTCCCAATGTGCCCCATTCTGACTTTGGAATAACACTGAAGAATGCATTTAACAAGATTGAGAAGGTGACTGTCATCAGGACTGCAGTCCATGAAATGAGATATCAAGTCTGGGAACAGATTCTCCATTGTGAGATTCTGTTGCACCTGGTGAACAATTTTCTGGAGGACTCTAGGTGATGATGATGCACCCACTGGAAGAACACAGCGGATGGCAAGCTCACACATTTTAGAAACTTTTAAAACACCAGCTGATGGCACTTTTAGCCCCCCATGGGATTTTCTGTTCACAAGAGATGTTGCACAGGAAGTTGATGCAAACAGGGCATTGCCACAAGCACAGCATGGGACTTGCTTTAGCGCTGCTCTAGCAACATAGCCTGCAATATATTCAACAACATTATGGATGTACAAGTCAAGGTGTGCCCCCTTGTGATCCTCTATGGACTTCATTGTCCAAAGAAAAAAGGCNGGAGGAGGGTAGAGAAACATTTGTGAAATGCCAGATTAATAGCTCAGGTGTTCATCTAGGTTTCAGCTTCATCTTCATCTCCATCATCTTCATCTTGGAAAGCAAAACTTGTCTTCTTAGCTTGCTCTCTACAACATGGAAAGAGATGACTCTGATTTTGAATCCACCCCACAGGAATGAATAGATTATTCAATTGATCTATCACCTCTATCTTCATTCAATGAGATGGAAATAACTGAGTGTTCAATGTAGGGAAATTCTGCTAGAATAACTTCAAGAAAGGTATTCTGGGAAAGGTTTGATCCGTTGGAACATTTAAGTGATTTGGAACTTCATGAAAGATACAGTCACAGGGAAGAAATTTCAAATTGACTGATTTGCTGGCTGAGCAATAGAATCCACCAAATCATGGGGCTCATGTGTTGCATCCACAGGTCCAAGTGTGCTTTGCTTTGCGTTTTTGTGCAAGTGGGACATTTCTGAATCTTGCTGGGGATGATGCCTGAGTGCACAAATCTACTGTTTCTCGCACATTCCACCAGGTTGCCAGTGCTGTTTGGCACAATATGGGCAATTACATTCTTTTTCCTGTGGGGGAAAATGAGCTGAGGAACGTCAAGCCACCGAAAGTGCTCTAAAAGTTTATATTAAAGTCTATATTAGTCCCGATATCTAAGGTGGGTGCAGGCCTAACATCGGGGTTCGCAACTACTTGGTCGTACGTGATTGTCCTTTCCCATGGTAAGGGTGAATGTGCAAGCCATTGTTGACCACAACATGCTGTTTACCAGATATGCTGCATGTTGGCCAGGGCGTGCCCATGACTCTTGAATTTAAAAAAAAAAAACAGTTTTTGGGAGCTATCTTGTGGAAACATTTCTGGATACCTATTGGGTGATTGTGGCTATCCATTGAGGACTTACTTGATGACCCCTTTCTTGCCAATCAGGTGTGCAACTGAGAGAAGCATAAGGTAAGCATCATATAGTACAGTTACTTTCTGTTAAGGGCCATACAGCAGTTGCCATGGTATTGGTTTTTTTCATTTTTATTTTCTTGTGAAATGTTTTAACCAACTCCAAGTATAACTATAATAGAGGAATAACATGTGGACACCATGGAGGAGGTTTTTCGGTCCCAACGTTTCCCACGTTAGTGTGAAAGGTTAGTATCACATTTATCTGGACCTCCCCTGTGTCGGTACACCCGTTTAGGGCAGAATACTGAGAGCGACCCGCCATATTGGAAATCCGTGCTGTGGACCTTCCCCAGTGAAGACAATTACGATTTCGCAGCTAAGAAATCTCTTGAAACGTTGATTAGTCTAAATCTGGAAATGTTACTACTGAGATATGATATCAAGTTCAGAAGACACGAGAAGGACCCGAGTGTGCCTGGAGGATGTGTTGTACCTACTTCCGAGTACACCTGTGGTACCTCCTCCAAAAAGCCAGGGTTGCAAAGGGTGCAATCACACTTTCCAATCATAGTGTAAATAGACCTGGAGGGGACACAGCCATGTGGGCAAATCCCGTCTTATGACTCTCGCCGTCTCATGACTCTTATGACTCTGCTAAGAAATCTCTTGAAACGTTGATTAGTCTAAATCTGGAAATGTTACTACTGAGATATGATATCAAGTTCAGAAGACACGAGAAGGACCCGAGTGTGCCTGGAGGATGTGTTGTACCTACTTCCGAAAGCCTGGCCTAGTTTTTTAAAAGTGATGTTTTATTTGATCTCATGATGAATCAAGAGCGTCTCCGTGAACTATAAGGCAGTGTAATTGTTTTCTCCCATTCTTCTGTTGGCTCCGAAGTTCAATATGATCTGGTGAAAAACCTTGATCCATATCATTTCATTATGAACCATTGAAACATTTTCTGCTTCATTGCAGGAAGAAAATATTGAAATGAAGCATGCAGGTTTTGGTTCACTGGTAGTAAAAAAGAATTGATTTGGTGAGTTTCCTTCTGACAGAGGTACTCTGAATGTCAGCATTAGCTTGTTTCCCAATGTGCCCCATTCTGACTTTGGAATAACATTGAAGAATGCATTTAACAAGATTGAGAAGGTGACTGTCATCAGGACTGCAGTCCATGAAATGAGATATCAAGTCTGGGAACAGATTCTCCATTGTGAGATTCTGTTGCACCTGGTGAACAATTTTCTGGAGGACTCTAGGTGATGATGATGCACCCACTGGAAGAACACAGCGGATGGCAAGCTCACACATTTTAGAAACTTTTAAAACACCAGCTGATGGCACTTTTAGCCCCCCATGGGATTTTCTGTTCACAAGAGATGTTGCACAGGAAGTTGATGCAAACAGGGCATTGCCACAAGCACAGCATGGGACTTGCTTTAGCGCTGCTCTAGCAACATAGCCTGCAATATATTCAACAACATTATGGATGTACAAGTCAAGGTGTGCCCCCTTGTGATCCTCTATGGACTTCATTGTCCAAAGAAAAAAGGCATTGACAAACTTGTACACCTGTTTCCTGCATAGTGTGCCTGTTGCCAGAGGTGTGAATCCTTCTCTCCTCATTGCAACCAGCCACTTCTTCCTGGTTTCATTATTCTTGGGAAACCTGCCAGCTTTTTTTGCAGGGTTAATACCTTGTTCAACTACTGCTCAGTACCCCCCTTTATCATGCCATGCTATGCTGCTGGTTGTGATAATGTCAAAGGACTTGTAAAATCAAGCAATTCAACATCCAGATATGAAAGCATTGGTAGACATGAAAACAAGCATCACCTTAATTTGTATTGAATTTACTTTATTTCAATAAATCATGCACAAATTTTCTCAAGGTTGTGAATCAAATTTCAACATACTTATGGAAGGTGATCTTCTTGATGCCTCCTGGTGCAGTTTCCTTGTGATCACCAAACCTGTTATTACAATTCACAGCTGCACACCTCGCCATCTGAATGCAAGCGAACACAATCAAATAAGAAATAACATTGGATGAAGCACTTCAGAAAGAATTGCATCAACTGTGGAAGCCCTGGAGCTGCGATTGTTTATATATTTTTGCATATCACCCATTGCTTGAGAAGCAGAGATCCAGATACTCCACTCCAACTGTTTCAAGGGGCCCCTTCACTTGATATTTAAGGTGCACTATGGAGTACAATAAGTTGAATTGATTCATCATGCTGTATAGCTCATTATTAAACTGGGTCAATAAAACAGCATCACCAGCCAAGAAAAGTAATTTTATTGGTGATGCACCACTGATGATGACTCCCTTGCAACCCTAGCTAAACATACAAATCTTGCCCATGTATGCAAGGAATAAGAAAGGAGAGACAATGCAACTTTAGTATAGTGACCGTGTATGACTACTTTGGATATGAGTAGGGAGATGATCTGGGGATGATCTTGTCTTGAGGACATTAGTGACGTAGTCCTGACTTACCAGGTATCATGGAGTGATAGTTAGGTTATCAGGGATGTGCTTCCATAGAAGCTCATGCTTGCAGACCTTTCAAGATCCATGAGGTGTATCTAAAACTTTTCCACATCCCCTCTTAATGTTTCCAAGAATCTGCTGCAAAGAGCTGCTCCATCCCACTGCACCCTCCATGAAAGTCACTGTTTCTTCAAAACTTAACAAGTACGTGTACACTTTGAACTACAATGGAGCCCAAGCTAGACATCTTCACATGCACTCAGTCTCAATAAGTGAATTGTTTCCATATAAACAAAATGGAAATGCTTCAAGTCCATCAGACAAACTTTCTACGTTGTCCTTTTTCAGAGAGAGAAATTGAGCTGATAGTCAAGTCAGACGTCTTTCTCCCTGAATCAAAGATCTTTAAACTCCTGCATCATCTGAAAACAATGTTGCCTACAAAAGGCACACATTTGCACAATGCACTTAAGCTATCTATTTTTTTTGGCTATTGATGCATGCAATGTAAACTTTGAATTCTGATATGAAAAAGTCCTGAAAGGGCTTTATGGTTTACCTAAGAATTTCAATAGCTATGATGAGTAATTTACCTGATGGAACAAGTGACAGTTTTCATTGCATCAAAAAAAAGTATTCACACTATAATAGCGCCTAAAATCATCTTCTTCACTTTTGGTATCAGAAATCTCAACATCTACATAACCTAAGGCATCATGCAATGCACCTTTGGAATGCTTGGATGTTGAATTTTTCTTAATTCATCCTCTTCCATTTCTTTCTCTTTGAACAGCTAAATTTTCTTTACAACTCACTCTTGGATTCACCTCTCTCCTGTGACCTTGACACTGGTGAATAAACTATAAACCTGCATCCAGGCTTGTGAACTATAGTCCAGATTTTGCCCACAGACAACTTCCCTTTCCTTTTCCCCATAATTTCTGCTCAATTGTGCATACACTAATCCTTTGATATTGACGATACTTTAGGCAAATTAATTCGAATTTCAATCAAAACGAAAGGAATCTTGCTCAATCAAAGAAGTTAAGAAAAGTGGGTTTAGGCATATATATTGATTGAAAGGAATATCAAAACGTTCAAATTAGGCTTGCAAGAGCAGGGTAATGATCTGTGGACCGAAGTACCTCTAGGTCCAATAGACATGATTTTGCCTGGGCCCTTTGCAAATAGGCCAAACATGAAGCCGATCAAAGGCCTAGCTTACAATCGGCTATTGAAAACCGGGTATGCTTGGCCTACCCCAATGATCCCATGTGAACAGAAGGCCTAGGCCAGGTTCTCTGTAACGTCAGTGAAGAGTTAGGCTCATCCATTGGACGCACAACCATAGGCCTGTACTTTTATACCTATCTTTCTTTGTGAATAGTGTGCTCGGAAAGCTGTACTTCGCACGGACGTCCACCACGACTCCTGAGGTTGGGATCAGAGAAATGCTCCGGCATGGCTGCCACGTGGTTTTACAGGCTCGTTTGACCCCAAAAAGATGGCTTCAAAAGGTGCCGCGACACCAGCGCCAGTTTCCGCCCCTTGGCCCAAACAAGTGAGATAATAGTTAACTGTGTCTTCGTGATATCAAGAAAATACCAGGGGGAGAAATTCGAAAACAATCAAAGATGGCCTTCTCGAAGAACTTCGCTTCGGGCATCCCTGGCGTCTCGCTTCTCTCTCGTCGAGGTAGGTCTGCTCGAAAGCGTCAGTCTGAATATTGAATCGTAGCCTGGAATTCACGAATAGGCTAAAACTAAGTCTGAGTATGGGACTCGAGTTAACGAAAACGAAATTGCTATAACCTTGACACTAGGATAAACAGGCGTATTAAGGTACTTAGGAAAGATGAAAATCGACCCCCCTAGAATCAAATTCTGTCTGTTGAATGTTTCTTCGGAGAATGAGCGAGGGAAGAAGCGAATTCGCGAAACTCAAATTTTCACAAATGGCGCCACGACGTCTCAGGGAGCAGAGAGACGAGCACGTTTTTGGGCTCATCATTTAACTTGTTCTGTGGCGAGGAGAATGGCGCAAATTTGAGGTTTCTGCAACCAAGGGTTGGGGAGATACAGACTTTCAAAGAGACGCATGCAAATCGTGACCTTTGACCATTCGCCACGGTCAGGTGGTTGACCTGAGAGTGCCAAAAAGTGGCTTCAAGGCCCTCCCTTGGGGTCCTCTACAATAATTATAAGCCAGAATTGGATTCTAGGGGGGTCGATTTTCATCTTCCCTTAGTACCTTAACTCGCTATAGTGAGTACCTGACTCAAATTTGCAAAACATGAGTCCATGGGACTCATTGACAACCACTTGAACATGTTCCCTCTGAGCTGAAGCTAGGTGCCAGGACTCAAGATTTGAGAAAGCTAGTATGAACCTTGATTTACTCATAAACCAGCTTGTCTGTGGAGTTAAACATATAGGTCTGGTTTTTGACCTGATGTCTTTAGGACATGTTCTAATGTTCACGTTCTTCTTTTCCAGGTGCCCCTTGGTCCAGCTGAGGTAACTTATGCTTCTCTGATGACTTCAGGTCCAAATTCCAGGTCATGATTATTGGGAAGGTCAAGATCATCATCAGGCATTGAGAAGGCAGTGGCATGTGTTACTGTGCTTCTCATGTCACTTTTTTGTGGATCTTCAGTGTTTTGGCCAATGAAATTCACATTTACACAATGTTTTGGTAATCTCCCCCATCTGTATAATTCTCTAATGTTCTTTGTCAGTATTGTATTTTTGGGTAAAGCAATAAATCATTAAAATTGAAATATTGTGTCTACTTTACTGTGAGGTGCATAATATTTGCAGCGTCACCCTGGCTCAGTGAATAAGGGGCCTGGGTGCACACAGGAGGTCCAGGTTTGATTCTGACCGGTGGCAGGTGGTATTCTGGGCCAACAGTTCACCCGGCTGCTTCCAGGTACTACCTGCTCTCCCATGGGCTTAAGCATAGGCCACTCTATGCTCCATTGTATAAGAGATAGGGGCTTGATGCACCTCAATAGCACCCACCACATCAGTCCTGGCGGCCTGATGTGCAGCGATGGAGGGTCTAAAATGGCCGAAGAAGCATCAAAGTTGCCACCACTTTCCCTGGCCAGTGAAACAGGATACTTTATGACAGGAAGCATGGGAAAATGGGCAATGCCTTCAGGGATGTCCAATATAGAATTCCCTTTTCTCTACTCTGTGTTGCCACTTGCGGCATTTGTCCTAGTCTGTGTTTGTCCCAGTCCATGTTAAAAAAAAAAAAAGTTCATAATTTGGAGATCCCAATCCCTCAATGTCTATATTGCTTATGAAAGTCGTGATTTGCCATGACATTGACAAACAAGCTTCCTCCCTTTTATTTAAAGATATAGCAACATAAAATGAGGAAGCTTGACCAGGTGTGCTTAATTTCATGACCATTTCAAAAGGGCAAAAGACCTATGTCTACTGTTAATAATAGTAAATACCTTCTTACAGTCGCATCCACCTTGAAATTTTCAGTACCCAAATCCACCCTGCCTCTTTCCTTTCCCATGCATTCCGTCTATAATTGAAGGAAAAGCTTCTGAGCGATTGGTTACGAAATGTGGATGTTACACCTCCAATAACCTCATAACATCTTAGGAAAACCATCATGACATCCTAGGTTGAGGTTGAGCATTTATTATCATTAGATGGGCCTACCCCTTGGAGAGGTAAATATTTTTGTGGGACATAGCCACCTTCTGTTGAGTTGCTTATTTCCACACTGCTCCCTTTTTTTGTAATGTCAAGGAAGGCATCAAGCCTCTTCTTCAAGCCAGTGACGGTAGGTACAGCCACTTCATTGTCACTTGACACATTCCATACGTTTAATACACTACAGGTAAAGAAGTCCTGTCACAACCCGTACCTCATCAGGGTTTATGCAACTTGAGTTGATTCCCTCTCATTCTGCTGCTGTCATTCCTGAAGTGGTTGGAGGCATTTATTGTTCTAATCTGCCATCACGATGGTTCTTGCCTTCTCATTCACTTGGAAAGCCATCCCTGCACCAATCTAAATGGTGTGAAACTAAATGGAGGCAACTTCCCTTCCTGCCCCCCCCCCCCCCCCATCGTAAGGAGAGGTGATGGAAAGCACACCCTTTCTCCGCCTATCCTGCCCTGATTGAATGGGATGAGAGAAGGCTGCACCCCTCCCACCCCCATTGACCTCGATAAGAGGAAATAGAATCTGCCAGCAAATCCTCCTACTCCACACTTGTTGGTGAAAAATAATTTTTCAGATTCATCAATGTTTTCAAAACACCCATCCCTAGTCATTTAGATGACTTAGTTAAGCATGTCTTGGAATGTCAGTTACCCTCAATGCTGAGAACCTGAGGTAGGTGGAAAAGTAAGCTACTGGTTTGAAGACATGAGAAAAACAGGAAAACTTTCTGGTACTGTGTGAAATGTGCAAGTTAGAGATTTTATGAGTTTGTGCATCCTTTCCTATTTTTTGTTGTTGTTGCCTTAGAGTTTCCTATTCTGGCTAGGCTTCTTTCACTGGAAATGCATAGTTTTTTTTTTTGCTACTTTGGGCCTAGGAGTTTCTTGTCAACGTGCCTCTTCCCTGTGAAATAGTGTCACTTGCCTCCCATCAATTCCCATTCTTATTTATTTTCTCATACAAGATTAAGATTGGTCATGATCATTCTCCATTCCTCTACTCAAGACTTGATATCCAGTACAACCAGATTGGACATCCCATAAAGTGCCAGGATAGTGGCAGAATATCTGGTGTCTCTCTACTTGTAATTCAAGCCAGCCCTGGTTTTGAACTGTATATGGTGTAATGAACTGGCCCACCTCTTCACTCACTGCCCTTCTGCATTTCCTGAACTTTTTTTGTTGTCCTCTGTCCCTTAATTGGGCAGTAGCCCAATGAGCCCACACTCAGAATGAGCTACATTAATGTCTCAATTTGACATGGGACTTTTTCTCTTGAGTATAAGTATTTAGAGAAAGAAAGAAAGGGGGGGGGGGCAGAGCTCTTGAAAGTGCAATAACTCAACTATTTCCATTTTAGAGAGGTCCATTGCTGCTCATGAGACTTCAGGAACATGAATATCAAAATAATGAAATTGATTGGTGTATGTTATTTAATGACATGTTCAACTAGTATGCTGCTTTTGTAGAAAATACATGCTGAATGTCTACAGCATGTAAATTGACACCTATTTCCATTAAGGCTTATTGAGTTTGTAGCTTTTCATCAGATACATTCAGTTTCTCTGCTATTAAGTTCAACTTAATACCCAGTTTTGTAAAACTTGGGAAGTAAATATAAAGGAGAATTAGAGGCAGTTAGATGTGTCATTTGATTTGAAAATTATGCAGACACCACTAGCAGGGTAATTTTTTTTGTACACCATTCTTGTGTCTAAGCCTATTTGAAACCTGTATTCTGTCAACTCTCTTCAGATGTGAAAGTATGTAATATAAACTTGCAAGATTTTCATAGGCCTAAAAGTTTCTGTGATCTTTATCTTAGAGAGTTAAACTGTTCTACTCATATGATATGTAATGTAGATCTAGGCAACTTTGATATTTAATGATCCATTGGACTTCAGATGCTTGAAGTAGTCTTTAATTCCAATTCAATCCTTCAAGGAGTTTCCTATTTTAGGGCATGATTTGTCTCGGCAATATTTTAAATGCTATTTTTCAAGAGAAGGGAACCATCACTTACTTATGGACAGTCCAGAATAAATGGAATTATTAGCTCATTCATCTAGCATTAGAGTATTTCAAATTTTCCTCTTGATATTGATGTGCAAAGTTATAATCTGAATAGCTGAACGGGCAAACTGAAGTTAAAAGTCAGTCACTGGAGCTCTCCATTATCT